AGTTATTGAAAATAACTATTTACAGTTATTGACTTATTTACAGTTATTGAAATAAATCGAACTTTTGTTCTATTATATTATATATCAAGAAATTCAGAAGGTCATCCTCTTACCCTATTCTAATAAATTTCAATAATAGTCTAAATAGAAGATAGAGAGTGTAATCTGTACGAAGTCAGTCATTAAAATTATTTTGAAAATATTCTAGTCCCTATTCATCTCATATCAACCTGACTATAATTGACCATTGGAAGAGTCAATGTCACACTTTTCGATGCCAGCATTTTGGGCTACAATAAAAATTAATAAATAAAAATATATACCTGACTATTTAGTATATATCTCATTCGTAAATATTCTGCACATCAGACATTACATCAAAACAGGATAATTGCATACCCGGTTATAAAGAAATAAACTTCATTGTCTCGTCTCTGTAAGAAAATAATATTTCCACGTTGTTCTAACTTATATAGTTGAATTATTTATTCGGCTACAAATTTATCAAGTGGCCATTACAAGCGAGCGCAAGACATTCAGCTGTCAGGTAGACAGACGAAGAGGCAGACTGAATGACTGATGCACAATAAGTGACTTCCTAAGTGACAGACGGCAGAACCTCTTAAAGCAGCACATTGGTCTTGTGCACTGCATGAGTGAAGCTTGGAGAATCCTCAGTCTGTAGGTGTGTCTAATTTGTCTGCATATAAATTAGTCTTCAAGTGCTGTAATCTTTCTCTCTGCTCTTTATCGCCGGATTGATTCTCATGGCTAAGTTTGAATTAAATATCAGAATACGAATTTTAGCGGTCTTCTGTTTACAACAATAATTTTTTTTATTATTCATACAATAATGGAAGCTGAATAAGGTGTTTTCATTTTTTTGCATTGGCACTTCTTAGAGGCTCTACGGATTTTTCTTAGCATTTAAATATCAAAATGAATTTGAAAACAATTTTGTGAGTAATGTTTCCTTGATTTCATTTCGATTCGATTCCTCATGAATGACATTTAATTATCGACTGGAAGTTTAGCCCAAAACGCTGGCATAAAAAGTGTGGCACTGAGTTTTCCTATGTGGTTATTTGCGGAGCCTAAAATATATTTTAGTAGCGCGTGTTTGGCTCTATCTCGACTCAGCTGCTAAGTTTTCCGTTCAAAGTTCTAATTGTGAACTAAGCTGCCATCAAAGAAGGTGATACTCAACGATTGTAGAATTCATACCCTGCCAGTGCATACTGTCAGTGCAAACGCTGCCATGCAGTGCATACTGCCAGTGCACATACCGCACTAGTGCATACCCTACCAGTGCATACCATGCCAGTACATACCCGGTCAGTACATACCCTGCATGTAGCTGCCGGCATACTTACTGACTGCCACAAAACACAATTGAAGTAAGAACTTAATCATTTTCTGTTTTCTTTTCCTACTTTGGAAGCTTCTTTTCTTTGTTCTTTGTTCACTTTCAACGCAATTAGAAGTTCTTCCCTACTTTTTTAGTTCAAATTTCATCTTGATAGAAAAGGAAATTTCTAATGCTAGGGAAATGCCGTGAATGGAACCAGTTGCGCCGCTGAACGAAATAGATTTATTAATAATCATTAATTCCAATTCAGGATAACCAGCAAGTGTCATGGATAACATTACAGATCTCATTAACGTGTAGTGGATTTTGTATGATCAGTTGACACGTGTTTGGTTGACATTGGAGATACCAAGAGATTCAATCGATCTTGTGATGGCCAATTGACAAGTGGAGATTAACGGTGGCCTGTCAAAGTTCTCTCTCCTATTCGTCTTCATTGAATAAGAGGCAGCAAAATTTTGCCTTGAAGTACACTTCGTTTGTCTTCCAAAGCTCCCCATTCCACAAGCCACATTTTTTTCTACGAGATGAACCTGATTCTTATTCTATTTTTCTATTCTGGAGTGTGAATGCTACTCTACGTGAAATTTCGCGGAGGATGCAATTTCATTTAAAAACATCCGAATAGGCATATATTTTATGTTTTTTTAATTTTCATATGCAATTATACTTGTGCTAGAACGGCATGAGTGTATCGGTTTGAGCTTGTAGTCTATTTCTTTGGACCGCTAATGTTTCTTTATTTTGATAAATAATTACAACATTTTTGGCGGAAGTGTTGAAAAAATGCATATTTTTTATCTCTACTTCCACATGATGGCTATTAACAAAATTATTTTTCAAGCTCTGATTTTTTCCCTGCATGGAAACTTTTCACATTAGAATTAAAAAAAATATGTAAGTATAACATTGACAACTAGCCTAGGGCATAATTACGCCTTAACGTGGACTGAAATTGTGTTTTTAAAATTTTATGACGAGATGGCTGCTATGAGACGACGGACTGCGGTCATTCTATTCCACATGTGACCGGCGGCAACAAAAGTGGCCACTGTCGACGACTCTTTGACAGGTCGACCTTCAGACTCAAGGAAGCTTATCTGGTTTCCATGACAACACTCAGAAATGCCTCCAGTTTTCATAAAACATAAAATCTACAATTTTGTTGCGAATACTTTTTACACTTGTTCATTCCAATCTTGGAGGCACCTTGGGTCTTCACCAAGTGTCAAAACTTGCCGGCAAAACAAAGATCAAATCCAACTTCAGATCAAAATCTCTACGAGGTTCAACTACATCTCAGAGCTGCCTTTGGTCGGAGCATGCGATGAAAAAGGACAAATGTTTATTAATATACCTAGATAATAATATTTTGAATAAAGATTAGTTAAGAGTAGAGGAATAAATTATTGAACCGAATACGCGGGGATTGAATAATAATAATTAAAGGGCATGGTAGATAATAAGGAAAATCTTTTAAGCAGAAATCGAGGTGCCAGACGCGTGGACTACAAAGTCTACTGTGTCACTAACACATCAAACAGCGATGTTATTGTACGCGAGCAAACAATGATAAACAAGTTCTCTGTTTACCACCTGTTAAAAAGTTAGAGACGCACATCTGAAAATACTGCATCTCTGCTACCGGCAGAAGAGGCATATTTTTATCACACTAACAATAGGTACCTCGTATAAATGGCGTCATCCATGCAGGAGCCAAGATAAAATAGATTATTTTAGAGGTAAATGCCACTGAGAATATATTTTTAAAGAAAAAGAGAAAAAAATTGTCATATCTCTCAAGTCAAGCAAAATATGATCCTGCATTAAAATTTGTGAAAACAAAAAATTTGATGAAAGATAATCCCTTGTATCTCAAAGCCATGACACACAATTTCTCGAACTGTAGGTAACTCACAGTGACCTCCTCTAAAGATTCTAGAATTATGCTAAATATCCAGTTATTCAGTTGTGAACAGTATCTCAATAGAAAATGGCCTATTTAAATAGTGGAAACCTACTAGAAAATTTAAATTTTTACAGCTAACCAATTATCGAAAAACAAACGAAAATTTATATATTAGCCAGTCTATTTGAATCACTGGGATATATGCCTAAACTTTTTAAAAAGGCATAAAAGTAAGTCAGTTTTACAGAGGACTTCTCTTGATGATTGGAAGTGTTTTGACCATAACGTGATGTTGTGTATAAGAAAATAAATCACATTCTTATGACTGCTGAGAATAGAAAGATTCGTTTTTTATTTACATATAAGATTCTGCTAATTTAGTAATGATAATTGATCAATCAGCTCCAAAATGGAAGTTACATCTAAATGGTGTCTAAATATAACAAAATTTAAAAAGGCTGCATTATGGTAAATAGTGTAACATTTTAACATCAATGTTTTATTAACTTATTTAAGCCACAAATGAACTTCTAACGGGATGTGAATTTGCAGTCTGAATCATCAAATATGCAAAACCAACTTTTAACTTGACATGAATTTGTAATTCAAATTATTAAAGATATGAAATAAAATTGTTACGTTATTTCGATTTTAAATTTAGGTAGCACATTCAAAGCAGGCGAAATAATAAGTAGCGCGTTTTAACATTACCGAACAGTAGCATCATTGCGTTACATCTCACTTGCAAGCCCATTCATCTTCCTATATAAGAATTTAGGGCAAGAAAATCCAGATACTGGACCTAACGATGTGGACCTAAGATCGAGTACCAGATATCTGACGGCATGGACCAACATGCTTACGTCCTGCTTACGACATGATTATTTGGATTGCTGCAAGACATAAAAAAGTCAATTGTACACTTAAAAATATGAGGAAAGTGAGTCGAGGATAAGGTCCTGAAACTGCGAATGGATTTTTAAGTAAAGAAGTGTAAGTCATGTCATGTAATTGAAAATATTTGATTTGTATTTATCGTTTAGGTTTTTAATCACCACTGACGTGACCTCGCGTAGGAATCCGTAATACTTGAAAAACATGTCGTTACAAAAATACTGTTATAGATAAATAAGATACCGCCCATTCAGCTGCCATATTTCTCGTGAGTGCAAAATTGCAAAATACCATATTGCTGAAATTAATGCATTGAAAAAAAAACAACGAAGATTTTTTTAAGTCAACCTGGTCAAAGCGCATTTTCCCAGTGAGAATTTACAGACGCGGCAGCTTCTGATTTGGATTACCAGAAGCTGGGGCGACTCTAAATTTTGTTACCCTGTGAAAATTTACAGACGAGTCAGCTTCTGATTTGGAGTACCAGAAGCTGGGGCGACTCTAAATTTTGTTAGGGTTGAAATTAAAAGCGGCGCATTTGTCTAATTCGACGAATGAACTTCATCCACACACATAAACGCCATTTTTAAGGACTACATACGTACGTACTACATGTACAGTGTACGCAGTCCAGCTGACCGCTATAGAGCTAAAGTAAAATTTGCCACACACAAATGTTTTTGGCACAAAAAAATTTGATCGAGTAGAGCTTAGCCTCCGAACTCGAATTTCAAAAAAATTTGGACCACTTTCTCATTAAAAATTTGTTTACGGAGATAAATACAGCAAATATATACCTCAATAACAGTTTTGTCATTGTCTCTACAGTTTTGTAATCATCTTCACATGCCTGACGCTGAGCGTGCTATCTACACTGGAGAACACCGATGAGTCAGCGCTGAGATTTCCACTGGACAACGCCACTGGGGTCTACGTTGACGATGACATGCCAGCGTCAGATGAGACGTACGATACCATCCTTTTCTACATCGAAGTTGTCGTACTCATCTGGTTCACCATTGAATTCCTTTTGAGGTGAATACAATCCGCCTTAATTGCCACTTTGAGTGGAAAAATATAAGGGATGTTAATAAAAATGTAAGGTTTTATTGCTGAAAGAGTTGTCTCCAACCGATGCTCAATATTTGCTAGACGGGGCGTTCAAATTTTCATTATGTATTCATGTTACATTAGATTTAATTCAATTAGAAAAATCATGGAATGCACGAAACCGAACGAAATGTAATATTCCGGATGGTGGTGTGAAATCAACGGTTTCAGCTGCTGAATCATGTTTTTGTTCTAGTTTAGTCTGTAAATCTTGTGATGAAATTTCAGCGGTAAAAGAAAATTATATATTCGGCATGGACTTATGGTAATAAATTTTCTATGTTCACAAACATGAACCTAATTCCAAAATTTAAATCTAAGTGAAAAAAAATTGATAAAAATTATTAATCATAGTATCATAAAAAAATTCTCTGGTGATTTAGAATGTAGGAATGAATGCTGCTCATGCATTAGGTACATATAAATACTCGAATGAATAACCTATTACTATGTATAAGAGTACCGTGTGTTGCCATTCACTAAAAGAGCACCGTGTATTACCATTCACTAAAGAAAACCGTGTATTACCATTCACTAAAAGTGTACCGCGTGTTACCATTCACTAAAAGATTACCGCGTGTTACCATTCACTAAAAGATTACCGCGTGTTACCATTCACTAAAAGATTACCGCGTGTTACCATTCACTAAAAGAGTACCGCGTGTTACCATTCACTAAAAGATTACCGCGTGTTACCATTCACTAAAAGATTACCGCGTGTTACCATTCACTAAAAGATTACCGCGTGTTGTGCGATACCATTCACTAAAAGAGTACCGCGTGTTACCATTCACTAAAGGAGTACCGTGCGATACCATTCACTAAAGGAGTACCGCGTGTTACCATTCACTAAAGGAGTACCGCGTGTTACCATTCACTAAAGGAGTATCGTGTGTTACCATTCACTAAAGGAGTACCGTGTGTTACCATTCACTAAAGGAGTACCGCGTGTTACCATTCACTAAAAGAGTACCGTGCGATACCATTCACTAAAAGAGTACCGCGTGTTACCATTCACTAAAGGAGTACCGTGCGATACCATTCACTAAAAGAGTACCGCGTGTTACCATTCACTAAAGGAGTACCGTGCGATACCATTCACTAAAAGATTACCGTGCGTTACCAACCACTAATAATTACCGTGCAGGCTGTGGTCGTCGGGATGCAGGTCACGGTACCAGGGCTGGTGTGGACGGCTGAAGTACGTCAAGCGGCCCTTCAGTTGCATCGGTCAGTCGTAGGCTGATTTTTCGCTTTAGTTTCCATTACACATCGTAGATTAAAATCGTATCGTAGATTAAAAAATTAGGTTTTCTTTACTGAATTTCTTTGGTGCTGCAAAGGCCGCTTGAGAATTATTTCTTAAATTTGCCTTTATTCTGCAACAAAAATAGGTAGATTCAAAAAATGTAGACATGCATTATTTGGGTGAGTCTCTAAATTATGCCCTATTTTTTGTCCTTGGTTAATTTCTGGCTAATGCAATATTTTTCGCAAATTATGACTTTACCCCAAATATTTTTAGAGTCACATTTTTATTTTCAGCGTCACAAATCATTAATGAGTGAAAACTCAATTGCCAAATTTCCATATCACAAGACCAGGAGAAACTCCAAATCAATGCCAATATCCAAAATGCGCACTTTTTGCTGTCGTTAAATTTCGATATATTTTGATACATTCTGCTTCATTGAATACTTCAAACTTGTATTTTGTCTCAAAAAACAGGGCAATTTTTCTCCCAAATCATTATTCGTTTTCCTTTAATCTAGAAATTTCGCAATTTTGTTAAGATGCATGTACTATTCATATATCTCTTCCAATTGTTTTCTCTTTTGCTCTTTTTGTATTATTCAATCAAAGGATCATTATTTAAAGATACACATATAATCACTTATAATTGCATCTTGGCATGTCAACTATCTCCGTATATGAACACCGTAACACGGACACAATGGCATGTTCCATCAGGCATTTTGCTTTCATCTGTTGCAGGTGTCATGTGCACCGATAGGAAATAAATCTTGCAAGTTCAGCAAAAAGCATTTATTGTTAGGTCACGTTGGAGCGACCGAGGGCGGCATGAAATAGCGCTGTGTTACTGACTGTGTTACTGACTGTGTTACTGACTGTGTTACTGACTGTGTTACTGACTGTGTTACTGACTGTGTTACTGACTGTGTTACTGACTATGTTACTGACTGTGTTACTGAATATGTTACTGACTGTGTTACTGACTGTGTTACTAACTGCGTCACTGACTGCTTTAATAACTGCGTCACTGAGTGCGTTACTAACTGCATAACGGACTCGTTAGTGACTGATAGTCAAACAATGTCTGACGACAAAAGCCCGAATGAAAAAAATCCATGACCAACAAAGCCTGACTGACTATGCTTGGGTCAAGTAAAGCTCTTCGTATCTCGAAGTAAAATGCTAACACGTGAGAAATGTCATCAAAAAATTCTTTATCTAATTTGTAAGTTACTACGCAATATTAAGTGATACATATATATTGTTTAAATGATCAAAATTACATTGTACTAGATATGATGCGCACGATCATTTTTAAGTGTCAAAAATTCCAAAGTACATTTTTTATATCATCTCTTGAAGTCAGAAGAAAATTATCATTTATGAAAAATTGTTCACTTGGTATTTTTTTCAAGTAAAGGTCGTAAAACCAAAACTAGTTACTCGAGCAATTTCTAAGATTGATAGCTACACATATATTAAATTCACTGATTTCAAGTTTGAAGTTACCGTGCAAAAATAATTTGTTTACAAGATTGGTTCAGTGCAGCTCTGAGATCATCATGACAACTTGTTTACGTACCAATTTACTTCAGAGCCCCAACAGCGAATAGCCTTTGGTATTGACGTGCGACCACTTTTTTATGTTCCAACACTTGACACAAATTGGATCTAATTGGCACAAACTGTGCCCGCAATAGCTGAAGTAACACGCTTGCGGTTGAATGGTCTAGTGTTGTTAATTGACTCATTCAACACGGAAAATGGAAGTCAAGAGTGCACGCCGTTTAGGAATTGGAAACCTGAACTATGGGATAAATTGATTCAAGCTCGAACTGTACGATTTTCTATGTGGGGTGCCTCGTAAGCATTTTTATTGCGTTTTCGCTATACTTATCGGGACTCGATATTACACGGATAGAAATTTTTTAACTGGAAAATGGGCTATGGGAATGGGTGAGATTAACAATATATCTATATATTTTTGGGATAGAATAATTCGAATTCAATCTAAAAGTAAAAAGTTTATTCGAAATTTCTCAACGGGAGTCCTCAGGCATGGCTTGGATGCTCAGGATTCCAATCTATGGATCATTAACAAGTAATTGAAGCCTACATTCTGTCACCTGGTGATGATATAAATTAGAATTATAATTACCTCATACATTTTGGATCTTAATATTTGGGCTCTGGTAACCAGAAAACGATCTTTTTCTAATTTAATTAGCCTCAGTAAACTTAATTCATGTTTCACAGACCTGGTAACAAACCTCGCTTCCATCGGAGTGCTGACGACATCCTTCGGCAACGACGATGGTTCGTCGGACGACAGCGGCAAGTCATCGATGGTTCAGGCGGTTCGCAGTCTGCGGTTCCTGCAAATCCTGCGGATGGTTCGCATGGACCGCAGAGGAGGAACCTGGAAGCTGCTTGGTTCTGTGGTTTACGCCCATCGACAAGTATGTTGTTTGATCTATGATATATTCTGTATATTTTCTAGGCTTAATGTTCGAGTTCATAAATTTGACATTCATTTATTTTAAAATAATGCAACTTTTCGTAATTATTAGGGTGTTCATTCCTCTTTATTAATGATGCTTGTTAATATTTTTCAACTTATTTATAATTTGATGATCGATAACAAAGGCAGAAATAGGAATAGAAGTTTGTATTCATAATCATACTCGTGAAATAATTCATGTCAAACATTTGTACATGAGAGCCGTGCAATTTTCTAATAATGCTCATTGTTCATATTTTTCTCATAATAAATGTTATTATGAAATTTGAATACATAAAATAACGATTGCAAAAGTTAATTAGCAATATCGCTGTAGGAGCTATCACACTCTATCCCATTTAATATCCTAATAATTTTTTGTATAAATAAAGATGATGGAAAATTAATTATACCGAGTGACTGAAAAAACAAAAGGGTCGAGATTACTCTTCATCTATTAAGTCAAACTAATTCGAAACTCAATCATTTTATTTTTACATTATTTACCCTCACATTGATTAATATAATAATCTGAAGGTAAATAATGTATAAATAAAAGGATTAGGTCTTGAATTATTATTATTATATTTCTTCTATATTAGTATATTAGTAGATTAGGATATTAGTTTATTAGTATATTAATATATTAGTATATTACTATATTAGTATATTTCTATATAGTAGTATTTGCTCAATATTTCTCATCGGATGAACATATATCCTACCCAGGAGCTGATCACAACCCTGTACATCGGGTTCCTTGGCCTGATCTTCTCATCGTTCCTAGTGTATCAGGTCGAGAAGTGCTGCAACGAGAAGTTCAAGAGCTTCCCGGACGCTCTCTGGTGGGGAGTGGTGAGTGCTGAACGATCACGAATAATTTCACAAGATTGCTGTAGTTTTGCATATAATTAAAAGGAAAATTTCAGTATTCTAGTGTCTTTTCATGAACGATCACGAATAGACAGATGGATATGTCGTTAAGATCCAGGGCCTATACTTTCAAAAAAAGTTAAGAGATCGTAAGTTCATCAGCCAATCATTGACGGCCTTTCAAGCAAAATCCACCAATCTTAGACAAGAAAATTGAGCGTAAGTACTTACGTTCACTTAGCGAATTTTGAAAGTATGGCCCCAGTTTTACACGATTGCTGTAATTTTGCATATGAATAGAGTAAGAAAATTCTGTATTCTAGTGTCTTTTTAAATTGAATTTGTCTCTTCTATGTTATTAGTTTTGGTTTCGAAATTATCCGCTATATTGAACGCATTTGAGTCCACATGGTTGAGTTTTCCTAGGGGCACCGCAACAAAAATCATGGTTGAGTATGAAAACTTTTCCCATTCATTTTACTTCATAAGATGAGGACTTTAAAACAAAAACACGTTACATGCACTTTGGCAACGGAAAAAGTATTCTGCAAGCATCGGTAAGAACGTCAATGGCAAAATAGGAAATCCGTCACACTGCGAGAAAATTACCGAACGAAGATCAGTAATGCTTATCTTCCACAATGAAGGCCACAACGATAACTGTAGGCTAATCCGCTGGCAACAGACAAATACATTTTCAACACATGAAAAAACGTCAAGCAGACACTATCTCTGCGCAATCCATATAACTAATAATTAAACAGTTATATTAATCCCAAAAAACTTTACACTAGGCTACTAAATTTTTTCAGTCGTTCACAATTTTACATTACCTTAAATGGAAACTTTGATTGCACATTATAGGTTCACAAAAACTATAAATCACAGACACATATATGGAATCAGATCAAAATTAACATTACCTACAAGCCTTTTCTTCTACTGATACTTTACCTGTCCGCAATGATATTTTTGGATCGAGAACAACAGGCCAACTGAGTTTTCTTTTGTCGAAAATTATCATAATCTTGTCGATAACGCATTTGCTGCATGCTACTTCGACGGAACGTTAAAGGAAATTAGACAAATGCGATACGTTATATAATTTTTTCTTGCAAATAACACCGTTTGTTAAATGCTTTCATCCTCTTAGGACTCGTGTATAAATATGAATATTTAGTCATACAAACTGCTACCCACAATTAAAATTTACCTTAGGGTCGTAAAGTGAATTTAGAACGCATAAGAATATTGATACAATTAGGAATATCTGTTAAGAAAGTTTACTTTCAACAGTGTGATACACTGAAAATTTTAAACCGATTTAATTACGCTATGCCAACTTACGCTCTAATTTTATTGAATTTCGTTGTAGAACCTCCAACTTCTAAAACTTTGTCGGACCCCTTCTGCCTTCCTGGTAATTTCCGAACCTTTTTTTCAAACAACCTTCAAGAAAATTTCTTTGATTTTTCGTAACTTTGCCAACCGCTCCTGAAAAGAGGCTGATTCTAAACTTTGTAAAGGACCCTAACTTGACCGGTAGCTTTACTCCCTCAAAGTTTAAGTCATATATCATCTTCTCACTGGAGCTGGGCAGTGTTTCAGACACGCTGTCGATAAAAAGAATTCCCATGAAGAAGCAATTGAGCGCGGAAAATGTTCTCGCCTCTAAAGAGAGCTGGCTCGTGGCTGCAAACTTCTTTCTTCTGCATTTATTTCTTTCCAAACACTTGAACAATTTTATCTTCAATAAATGCTCTGTCCACTGAAGGTGATTCTTTTTTTAACTAAGCTAATTTCTTTCTGAAACGTTTTACAGTGCTGAAGACTCCTCCGAATTGATCCTCGGCATTGTAAAATAAACTCTATATTGTTCTTTTTTGCTTGTAAAGCCAGCGGATTTTCTGTCGGGTAATTCAAATCATTTAAATATAAGTTGTCTGACGACCAAAGCAAAGATATGTACGTGTCAGCAACACTAGTTAAATTAACTCAATTCCTATTTAAATGCAATATTGATACTGGCTATGATGGTATGGAAAATGACGGTCAAATCCGTCCGCAGAATATTTTACAATTTTGTAAATAATATCGGGTGCATCTTTTAAAATTCCATCTAATAATAAGAATCGCATTATTAGGAACGTGGAAAAGACCGGAAAAAAGAAACAGTGGTTTAGTGAAGAAAAATTAAATTAATTCGACGGAACTTTGTTGGTCGACTTGCCGGCACCAAATTGCTGGCTTCGATATGAAGGTTATGATCGCGGGCGAGGGAAATGAAGGGTCCAGGCTCCTTGGGCAATTTTCACACCATTAGCCCCGAGAGATACTCCTGGGGAGAGAGTTTGGTTCATCCTAGTATATTTTTTCACATTTTATCCCTCTATTTCTCGTAATAAAATTGATCCGGTAATATTATAATAATATTGGTTACGTTGGCTTATTATACTAATAATATTACTATAGAAACTACATTGGAGAATTTTGAGCCCGAGTAATATTTTGAAACCGCATTCTTATCAATCGTCAATACTCCGTTAATTAATATAATAAATTAAATTCCTGAAACATTTTGCTCTTAACTCAGAAGCAGAGTTACAGAGGGAACAAATAACTTAATTGTAATATGTCCCTGTTGTCGTATCGGCAATAATATAATTTAATATTTCACCTATGAAAAATTCCCTCAGTTTGACATTTTCAAGTTATTTTTTCAGAATTGTCTGCTAGTGAAAGCCAGAATCCCTTTACATCTTTTAATTAATTTCTATTGAAAATTGTTCCCCTATTTCTGTTCGAAAAAATATCTTATTTTTACCAGAAGTGTAGCGAGCTTAATGTTTAGAGAATATTTCTTTTTAATATGAAGCTTGTTTAGCAATTTAAGCGCCCTTACTCAATGAAATTTTTTAAAAACCACCTTTTAACTTAAGAAAACTTTACTTCCTCCTTTCGATTATTGCAAACTTAGTGTACAACCATGTTGCAGTTTTACTATCACATTCAGCGGTATTACATATGTTTTCAACTCTCCGTTGTATCAGTCGTAAATATACATTTAGAATCAGTTTTATTCATGAGGTATGAGGATGAAATTATTTCATTTACTTTTTCATCGAAATTGAGAAAAATTTACAAGAGTTAGGGTACAGAAAATTTTATTCAACCACTGAAGTTTATCGGAATAGTATTTCCGATCCAGTCTCCTCACAGTTCCAGGAGTCTTCAACATCAGCGCAACTATACGTCTGTTAACAAAGCGCATATGGAATTTAGATGAAGATATAAATCGAATTTAGACTGTAGAACTATATGAAAATTGCACGCAAATTGAAATTAGAATTCAAAATTCGATATTTATAGATTTTTTAGTCATTGAAATATTTTATTAATAGGAACGTGCTCAGATGATTGGAAACTAGTTCCATGTTGAATGAGAAGAGGTGCACTCCTGAGTGGTACTGTGATCTCACCTCAAAGGCATTCAGTGCGAAGAATATTGCTTTCTACTGATCCCCCAACATCAACCGCCAAGCTAAGTAAGCTGGGCCTATACTTTCAAAACTCGCTAAGTGAACGTAAGTACTTACGCTCTATTTTCTTGGCTATGATTGGTGGATTTTGCTTGAAAGGCCGTCAATGCTTGGCTGATGAACTTGCGATCTCATAACTTTTCTTGAAAGTATGGACCCTGGGGCCGGATTATCAAAACATCGCTAAGTACACGTAGCGACTTACGTGTGGCGTAAGTGCCGATATGAAGAAGTAACTCTAGCGGTGGTATTATCAAAACATTTGCGCGGGAAGCTACGTCCAAGAAGCCGTACGTAGCTCTACGCCTGCTCGGAGGTGTCGTAAGTGGAGTTACGTAGACGTTTTGAGTGTGCCGAACAATATAAAACTATTGATTTACTCGCAACACGGTGAATTGTGATAGAATTTTGTCAATAATTCAACATATAGGCATAATATGTGATCGTGCTAAACGGTGTTTTGGAGAACAAAATTTCAATTAAGTTATGCCAGCTAATTTCTTTTCCTTTTGTGCTATAATCTGCAAGCAAATCTTGATATTCGTATCTAAGAGTTTTATGATCATTCACTAAAATAATATCTTCATGACTTTTTGATTCAAAACTAAGTGGAGTTTGACAAGCCGACCATTTTTCTAGCTACGTACACAAATTCCTTTCTTTCTCCGCTGATAGTTGAACTCCAACTCACAAAATGTTCTAAATTCTAGGTAGCTCTCTAAAAAGTCCTCTAATTTTGAATGGGAAAAATGTAATTTTTTGCCTTGGTCGCAAAAATTTACAATCAAGGCGTTGTCATTGCTATTTAGACAACGTCTCACTCATTTCTCCATATGCTCCCTAGTCAGTCAACGCAGATGACGCTGACACAATACAACCTCCTTTCATCCACGCGCACTACGTACTGAGTCGACAGGAGCTAGGAATGGCAAATTCGAAGCCTCTGATTGGTCAGTTAGTTGGATGGTTTCGATAATACCTTTTCAGATGAGTCTTGCGTAAGACAGTTTTTTTAATGCCAAATTTTGACTGACTTAGGCAATACGTAACTTTTTGAACGTAAGTACGAAAAGTTACGTATACTTAGCGAAGTTTCGTTAATCCCTGCCCTGGCCTACGCCGCGTGCTGTTCGCTAAGTGCCGCTCGTCTCCGTTCCCCGTACGTGGGCAGATAACTCGGAGAAATGAAGCAAAGCGCGAAGAGCGAGTATTAACGTGTGCATAAATGAGTGTTGGCCCAGGTCAAAACTGGTGCTCTGAAGTGCTACGATCTGAAGCCTAGAGCAGACCGAGTGGTCTTGTTTACATAGCGCGGCGTCTAAAGATCTAATGGCCAGCAGTTCGGCCTTGACTAATACAGAGAATGACTACAACATTCTGGAACATGATGTTGTCACGGTACTGGAGTGCATTGATTTTTGAAGTCTAATTTTCACATTTTGGTCTAATTTTTTATAAGTTTCTAAATTACCCAGTGACTCTGTACAACTTTTTTACTCCAATCTAATTTAAGAAAAAAAATCACTGCTTTACTTCATTTTCACTGCCTTACTGTCAAGATTTCCGATGATCGTCTTAATTAAAAAATCAAGAATGTGTCCTTCTGTTCGTTTGTTATCCATTCAAGATTCCCTCTTACACTTGCTTATCACAAGAAATTTTCTTCCTGTCTCCTTTCATGAAGGAATTTCGCCTCGTTGCCGAAACTGTAATCCCTGAGAGTGCAGACGACCCCTATTACAAATCATAGACTATTAACGGTGACCAAATAACGACAATGGTCGGCCAACAAACATCCACCTTTCTTCTTTCCCGTTACATATGAGGTTTTTCCGTTAATAAGGCCTGCAGTATTAGGCTCGAAATATTGCTTTAATAAAACACATTTTCTGAACTTGCACTGTATTCTTTGCACATCACTGTATTCTTGTATGTCGCTTCAAGATTTAATTAAAATCAAAATAGGCTTATGGAGGTACTCATATCAGCCGAGTAACGGCTTTTCCTGAGTCTTTAATAATTTTCTCTTCAATATCTCTGGTATTAACTATTTATAATATTAAAGAAAAAAATTACCCGAAGAAATGTTCTAAAATACTTGCGTCATAAAAATTGCATGAACTAAATTTACTTCCATTATCAGTTGTAACTGTAAAGTGTGATCATGAAATTTTGACTACCGATATCATGAAGGTAAAAGTTACGCAAAATCTTAGTTAATTTTTAATTAATCAGAGCAAATTAGAACCTAAAAATTTCAAATCTCCCGAGCCTCATAGATCCGTAGGTCACTGTTGATCTCATTGGTTCTCTATCCTCACCGGAGGTCTCGAACGTTATTTTTATCCTGCATCTCCAAAAGATATCTTCCTAGATTTTGTCAACTCACACACCAGTTCGCTCCAAAGCTCCTAAGCTCTACCAAGCTTTCATAAGCACTTCCAACTCTGCATACAACACTTCATAACTATTATAAACTTTCTTCAAACATCACAAACTCTCAATTCTCCCAAACGCTTCCCAAAAAATCTTTATCCCAAACTCAGTAATATTCTCCTAAACGCTTCCCAACGAATTTCCTTCCTATCTCTTACTTCGTAACTCCACTCAAAATTTATTCTACTAAATTTCTATAATTTCACTTCCAATAACTTTGTAACTCTGCCTTCTAATTTTCTTTTCCAAATTCTAATCTCCCCGTTCCAGATCACCCTGTACACGGTGGTAACCCTGCCTTCTAATTTTCCTTTCCAAGTTCTAATTTCCCCATTCCAGATCACCCTGTGCTCGGTGGTAACCCTGCCTTCTAATTTTCCTTTCCAAGTTCTAATTTTTCCAAGTTTTAATCTTCCCGTTCCAGATCACCCTGTGCTCGATGGTAACCCTACTTTCTAATTTCCCTTTCAAAGTTCTATTCTCCCCATTCCATATCCCCCTGTGCACAGTGGTAACCCTGCCTTATAATTTCCTTTCCAATTTCTAATCTCCCCGTTCCAGAGCACCCTGTGCACGGTGGCAACCCTGCCTTCTATCCCTGCCCTTTCAAAGTTCTAATCTCCCTGTTCCAGATCACCCTGTGCACGGTGGTAACCCTACCTTCTAATTTCCCTTTCCAAGTTCTAATCTCCCCGTTCCAGATCACCCTGTGCACGGTGGGCTACGGCGATGCTGTGCCCAAGTCGTGGGAGGGCAAAATCATCGCGTCGGGATGCGCTGTTTTGGGCATCACCTTCTTTGCTCTGCCAGCCGTAAGTATTTGTCGCAGCTTACTAATCTTCTGCTTCAATATCTTCACATTGGTAGTTATGGCTCATGCGCCAGCATTGATAGTGACGGTTAGAAATAGTTTTTGTATAGTTGTGAGTCTGGGATATTAATGCGATATTAAATAATAGTGTCTGGGATATTTATGCATTAAAAATGTAACAAATTGAGTTGATTTGCAGCCGAAATTTTGTTAACAAGTGAGAAGATGAAGTGGAGAATGATTCAATCGAAGGGGTGATATGAGGAAATTCTAACTTCATTAAATCTCTCAACTTTTTACATGTAGTATCATTTTTAGTGCAAACTGCTAACATGTATATTGCCCAACCTATCCTGTGGGATCAGTAATGATGATATTCATATCTTCTCTTGCATGATTAAAATCGCTTGCAGCAATTATCTTCAAAAATGGTGGCTACGGCAAAGTAATCACAAACTTTTCATTTTGGATGCAGCGTCAAGTTTCATTGCCGCCTAATACCATCTTTTTTAAGTTGTAAATTTGAATATAAATGAATTAAAATCATAATTTATTATTAGAATAACAATTTGAGCTCTCAAAAATGAGTCTATTTCTGAAAGCCTATTGATTTCAAATTTTTTAATAATTTAATTTGTCCATGGAATTTTAAATCCATGAACTGATCTTACATTCATAATCTATCTCAGAATAATGATACAATAATAAAAGAAAATTGCTTAGTTATTCAAAATACATCCGTGTCACCAACGCATTCTCTTAAAATATTCCAAGAGGCTTTTTTGTTTTTAGTTTCGCTGCAAGCGATTGCACATCAAGAGGCACAAATACAGTTTACTAATCTTAACTAATCCACGCTTATTCACGAATTTAATTCTCATGAAACGAATTTCTGCACCTAAATCTCATAGCGATAATTTAGTGATTAATTCAACAAGTTTCTCATGGTGGATTACGATCGTAGAGACTGATTAAAAAAGATTTTCTATCGTGCTTCTCTTCATCTTGTCTTGTGAAAAAGAAACAAAACGGTTCTTGAAAAAAAAGTTCTCTCCATATCTTTGCCTCAGGCTGAAGTACAATTTGCCTGATGTTTAACCAGAGTCCCTCCTCGAGCCCGACATCGTTTTGTGTGCTAATGACACTTTTAATTGTGGCCATTCCCTCGAGGGGGGCGATGGTCAATAACTTCAAGGAGTAATTTCAGCCCAACTCTTGCGGCAGCCAGCTGATCTAATTGCCAGGCGGTCGCTAATTGCCACAATTTCACGGCTATGTCCCGAAGAAATGATCCCTTGGGGCTACGATTCACTCTTCTCCGCCAGTGAAATTTCTGCCCAGGATCTTGCCTGCACTTACGACCACATATCCACGTGTTGTACATCACAATTTCTCTGGTGTGACTGCTTGCGCGGTGCCGAGAATAGAAAGGCAATGACTTCATTAGTCACAAAAAAGTCAAAGAATCAGAACCTTTTCATTGTTGTCTCAAATAATAAATTTATGAGATCAATTTAGCACAATTGAAATCACTTATTATTTGAAGATGAGATGTTCACAAATTTCGCGTAAATGGTTAGTGGAATGTTTGAGCTCGAACATTGAAAGAAGTGCTTCATTTATCCTTTCCTCTGTACATACAATGGGTCATAAAGTTATCTATACGTAAGACGAGGATCGGAGGAGGAAAGTACTCTCTTCAATATCAAAGATCAACATCATCGTTGGTATTGAGTCCCACGTTAAATTAAAATGAAATATTCAGTCCAATATTCGAGGTCGAAATCCAGCAATTACAGACCTCGGCGCCAGAGTACTCTCAAGACTCTCAAATCAACATCTTGTCTGCATTAATCACTTGGAACTTGACGACTATGCTTTAACACAACATCTCACATGTCATTTCCAAGTGGTATTATTTTTGCTACCCTATCATTGCAAACAACCTTGAAGATACAATTGAGAGTTGATATGACGCAAACAGGTGCCACGTGTGGCATTGGAAAAATTTAACCCGATTAATCAAAGTCCGTTGACTCAGGTCTCTGTTTTAAGCTCTTCCGTAAGAGCCTTAAAGGGCCGTGCAAAGGCGAGTGAATGGAAGCTGAAACATTGCTCCTGCCTCGTGGATTTGTTATCATCGAATGAAGGAAGGGTAGATGTATTATGGTCTGTGGCGTAAATGATATGAACGGAGGATTGAGTTACAGAATGAAACGGGATGAAAAGAGAACAGAAAATATAGGCTAATGAAATCGAAGCAGAAGGTTAGCAAAGGGCAATATATTTCTTTATCGACTTTGTACCCCCTGGGCACCGGTGGCCAAACGCTTCATTTCTGTGGCCATTGATCTGTCTTTGACGCCCGTGGAGCAACTTTGCAAATGAATATTCAGGGTTTACCGAGCTGATGAATTTAACGAACATTTTTAACATCAGCTCGTTAAACTCCACGACCTATCACAATAACCACACAGCCTAACACCAAATATTCTCACGTCAAAAATTAATACATTTTTTCTAGAAATTCTTTAAATTTGAAATGATTCATGCCTCCTATTAAAATTGGTTAAAGCTAGTTTAATTATTCTGCCAAAATGCGTTGCTCTTTCCCTCACCTGGACAGTTGCTTATCCGTCGCACCTCGGCCGAATAAGTCAATCCCCTAACTTTGTCCGTTCCCCATAACCAGCGCATGGCGCTTATATCCTTCCCACTGTGGGGGTGAAATGAACGGAGGAATGAGCGGAGGAATTAACGGAAGAATGAACGGAGGAGAGAACGGAGGAATGAACGGAGGAAAGAACGGAGGAATGAACTGGAAAATGAACGGAGAAATGAACGAAGGAATGAACGGATAAATGAACAGAGGAATGAACGGAGTAATGAGCGGAGGAATGAACGGAGGAATTACCGAAGGAATGAACAGAGGAATGAGCGGAGGAATGAATGGAGGAATTACCGAAGGAATGAACAGAGGAATTAGTTGCAGAATGAAACGGAATGAAAGGAGTACTTAAAATATAGGATAAATGGAACGAAGAAGAGGGTCACGACGGAGCCGGGGGAGGGGACCGGGCAGCGAGCCGCATAATGGCGGCTTGCATCTCTAATTACAGAAGTCGGGGTCTGGAATCTTTCACAAAATGCAGCAATAAAACCATCCTTGAATTACAGTCCTTAAAACACAGTGATTAAGTCTCCTTATGGCAACTCAGAAAGGCCATGAGGGCCTTGCAGTCTTTCGGAGTTGTATTTCTTGACTTTTAATGTACATGTGAACTCGAAGTCCCATGCAAGTGCGTGTGAGACTTGAAGTCTATTATGTTTGGGTTCCTGAGTCCAAAGCACATAATGGGTAACAAGTTGCCGAAGAAAATCTGATTAAGGCAGGATGGCCCAATGGTTACAGTTCTTAGTATCAAGATAGGACGAGTGAGTTGTGGGTTCGATCCAGGTACCTGCGACACTTCTTTTCGAAATCGGCCAGGTGTCCAACCGGTTGTGCACAGCAAATATTGGAGTACTGAGTTGAGTGTTCGAGACCCGCACAAAACTATAAAAATTCAACTATGACTAGTTTCCACAACTTGTCTATTTGCTTTATCAAAGCTGACACCGCAATGAAGTCCAATAATGGAGATTGTAATGTTTAAAACAAACATATACTCCGCAACCTAGTTTGGATGTAATTTCAACATCACTGCACTACATACAATTTATTATCAATCAGAAACACATTATTTGATACCAAAAATCACCATTTTTAAGCTAATAATGCTAAATAAAAACTTGTAACAGATATTTTTAGCACCCAAAACCGTTGCCATTGCCATGAAATAATTCAGCATTATTGGCCGTTCTGGAGGGAAGGCTGCAGGGCGCATGAAGCCACAGACCGTCGCGTTAGGCTGCGAATGTGGCTAACTTCTGGCCACTGGTAGCCATCTTCCCAAATGTTGCCTCCTTATGCTAATGTGGGGAAACTCCGGGGCATCGAGTTAGCTAGTGATATTATGTGTGTAGGCATTGATATTATGTACGTGTAATTTCCTTGTTTTCAACTGATATGCGGTAGAGACTTCATGGTGTGGATTACTTGGAATTGGAATTGGGGTGCGGGCTGACCTGCGGTCAGGACCTTTAGATCGGTCATTCACGCTGCATAAAAATCTCTTACTAGTTTGCAAAAATTAAAAGTTCACGTTGCTCTCGACAGTTCAAAAGGTTCAGGTAAGCTAAAAAAGACTGCGAAATACGCCGGTGCCCACTAGAATCATTTGGCCACTGTTAGATCATGGGCTGTCCGGTCGACATCTGTAAAATTTTGTTCCCAACAAGAACGTCTTTTCGATTAACAAATGTCACCTTGTTATTTCCTTATTAGTATGTTATCATTAATTCTCAGTTCATACCTACCCACATTTCAGGATCGTAATTAAAATGCTGTCTCCCTGCCGCCAGGGTATATCATTAATTCTCAGTTCAAGCCTACCCACATTTCTGGATCTTAATTAATAAGCTTACTCCCTGCCGCCAGGGTATATCATTAATTCTCAGTTCAAGCCTACCCACATTTCTGGATCGTAATTGATAAGCTGCCAGCCTGCCGCCAGGGTATATAATTAATTTTCAGTTTAATCCTACTAACATTTCTGGATCGTAATTAATAAGCTGTCTCTCCACCGCCAGGATATATCATTAATTCTCAGTTCAAGCCTACTCACATTTCTGGATCGTAATTGATAAGCTGCCTCCCTGCCGCCAGGGTATATAATTAATTTTCAGTTTAATCCTACTCACGTTTCTGGATCGTAATTAATGATTTATTTTTTCGCAATTAATAATTTCAGTTTTCCGCCGCCAGGGTATCCTTGGGTCCGGGTTCGCCCTGAAAGTGCAGCAGCAGCAGCGTCAGAAGCACATGATCAGGCGTCGCCAGCCCGCGGCGGCGCTCATCCAGTGCTTGTGGCGGTGCTACGCGGCCGACGAGAACTCAATGTCCGTCGCCACCTGGAAAATTCACCAAGTGCCTTTACCTTCTCCTCCTTCGTGAGTATTTTCGTTACGTGAATGTTATTTTTGAAGCTTAATTCATTGAGCCCTGTACAATCAAGATGGTTATTATATTATTTAATTTTTATAACATTCGTTTAGAAGCCGTTGTTGACAGGCAATTCGTACACTATAAGTAAAATCACCGTTAAATGGTCTCACCGGCGTTCTAGGGGCCGGTCGACACGTGAAATGAAACTCCGTATGACCATTTTAATTCAAATTTAAAACGAGAAACCTGTACAACATCTGAAAACGGCCACTAGAACGCCAGGGAGACCGTTTTTCTACCGTTTTTACGAACAGTGTACCTGAAGATATATTCGGTCTGCAGATATTCGATTAGGTGTTCCTGTAGTCACTGGCACGATGCCATTGACAATTTAACAATTATTGATCCCGATGGATTAATCTAATCAGCTCTAATTCGTTTCCTGAGAATTTTTCAACTTTTAATCAGTTGTTCTCCTGGTATTCTATCGTGATCAAATATTTGATAAAAAGTTTACGTAATTTTGTAGCAAGGAATGTGTAACCAAATATATTACTGTTCAAAATTACTTCATAAAGAAAAACAATTTCAAGGGCAGACAATAAGCTATACTCCTGCGCATTTTGATTATCTTCAATGTTTTCCATTTGAAAAAAATTCTTCGACAGCATAGAAGATCCATGAATTTTGGTGAATGCGTAAAATATGTAACCCGATAAATCTAGTCTAGTCACCACGACTGATTTTCGTAAAATCTATTATTGTGTTGAAGGAAACATGCAAGTATTGAGGTTATTAATTTCAATCTGTCTATCATTAACTCGTGGTACGCGGCTTACGACGCTCTGTAGCGTCGAACAGATTCGTGTAATCCGTAATATATAATTCAGTTCCTGCACGCGATTCATGTCGATCTTTACCACATCTTTTAGTTTTTCACTCCAAACTTTTAACGACGGAGTTGAAATAGCAGCTGCCAATGTAAAAATGCTGGTCAATTCTTAATTTACAATGCTATGTTTATACATTGGCTAGATCTCATTTTATATGTTGTGAATGAACGGTAACATTCTTCACAATTTTCCTAGTGTATTGCAATTTGAGAAATTGAGAGAGATTTAACATAATAATTTTGTAACAAGTAAAATAATGAAAAGAATATTAAAAATTTGATCAATTTGATTATTTCCATTAAATTAAAACTACACTCTACATATAACATTCAGTTCTGCCTTCCGACGCCCGTGTGGCTAGCGCTGCAAAAGAATTATTCAAGGTTTAGCAAGCTGATGTTCCAATTGGCTTTATTGTTCAAATAGTCTATTAATTGTTTGGTCAATATATTTTTTTTATAAAAAAATTAATTATTCATTTTTAATTGCTTGAAGAAAAGTAAAGCGATTCTGTATTTTGTAATACATCATCGATCATGGGCAAATTACTCTTCTAATATCAAACGTATATTTTATTTTTAGAAACCTAGACTCATATTATCTAATCGGCAATGAATTTTTATAACAATGTCTGACATTTATGGTTTCCTTTACTCATTCTATTTATACCAGGAGACAAATAAGGTACGGGATCAGTGAAGAGAGACGTGAGCCTCTTGACAGTATTTTCGTACCTGTTTTGTGATGATTGAATGTTAAATATTGAATCAAGTCATCGTTGGGAACATGTTAATTTACTTTCTGAATCCTATCATTTCCGAGCTTGACTTTTCTTTGCTGAACTTGAAAGTTGACATGAATGTAACATGTTTGTCCTGAAATGACTTTTTTCGTTGCAATGACTGCAGTTTAACTGTTGGAACCGTTATCAAAATTGCTTAATTTTTCACAGTTACATACAGTTCATTATTACTACTGTTTTCGTACAGATAACAGCTTCGTTGAGATAGCTTTCCTAAATGGTTGTCGTGGTGGTCGTAGTTACAATTATTAAATTTTTCCGGCCGCATTAATTGAGACGGTTGTTGCAATTATTATTTTTGTATGTATTTTACTTACATGGCAGTTGTTGACCCATCAATGTGGATGCAGTTGTGACAGCTGAAGCAATTATTAAATTATTAGCGTTGTGATGTTGCTGTTTTGATGTTTGTTACTGTTGTCATGTTTGCACCATTCGTAAATTGCATTCCAGCCAGCTCAATGCACGCCTGCCAAGCAAAAAACACTCAGTTCCTGAAAACAGAGATGATGATTTTTCGTAAATATTTTGTACGAGTGTTATTTACATAGATACCATAGGGCGAATGAATTCAAAATCCTATTTGAAAAAATTTTTTGTAGGAATAATTAATTTTTATTTTGATCACTGATGAACCTTTTGGCATAAATTCGTTGGAAGTTTTTTCATTACTGCACCGTTCTTTACGCGTTATTCTGTTTTTTTTCAGTCAATTATACGAATCTTTTTTGAAACCCTCAAATTGAATTATTATCTGCGAATAATTTGAAATTAATAAATTAATTGCATCAATATTGGGATTGTATTCCATATTCTTGAACATTTATTGAACTAAAGTAATAAAATTAGACAGGTTACATCTTCTTTATAACCAATTTTCATTCAAAGTATTGGAGTTAACTGCAGTGGAAATTTTAAATAGAACAAAAAAAGAATTAATTTATTCCACGTGTTCCTTGACCTGCATAAATGATCTGCTTCATTATCTGGGCACGCGATCGGGACCAACGTCGCCCTGATCACGAATATATTCACAGTCTTAGACGCTCATTTCAAACCTCAACTTCATTCCAGTCATGTTTATGATTAACCCAAGACGTGCGAAAAATCCCGACTCTATTTATTTTATCCCATTTATCCTATTTATTTGCTTACTGAACTGCAGGATTCCAATAAATTTTCAGAAGTTTTGGTCTAATAATAATCCCGGTACGCCGCAAGTTCAGGGTCGCGACTTTTTCTTTTAAATTCATTGTTCACAATCCTTCTTCGTTCATGGAATATTTATTCACTATCTTTGTTTAAAATAATGCCACTATTCAGCAATCAAAATAGTACATCAATAAATCAAGTACAAATGAATAAACTATATATATCATTTTAAGAGTTTTTTTATTCCGACATTATTTATTGTTCCTTCAATATTCGCAAAATATTTAATTATCTGGAATTACGGGTATAAAATGGAATCATCTGTAAATAATTTTTCCAGTAAATTTATAAAAATTTCCTATTTTGATGCAGCGAGATAAAGTTTTTCTTAATTTTTAGTCCGCAATCATTCATAAATATCTTAAGTTGTATTAATTTTAAAAATTGATATCGCATCGGATTCTAACTTGAAGCCCGGTAATAATGAAAGTAAATTTTTAGTCTAAATTCTCAAATCTTCCACACTGAAAACTTAATTTCTGCCTTCTATGAGGTCTTTCTTTCATATAACATATCTTGACTGCTTCTATTAAAAAGACTTCGAAGAAACGTAAAATCTCAAAAAAAACGTATATCAGGTAATAGCACGGTTATTCTTCTTTACCCAGAACATTAATGATTATAACCAAATGGCCATTTTCCTTCCTCAAATTGAAAGAAATAAACATATGCGCAGACTGTATAATGAATTGATTATTTTTGTCGGCTGTGCATTAACAAGGTCGTGACATTGAAATGGTTTTTAATTCAAGACACATTATCTGCGTCCATTCGGTGTCCTCGTAATGTCCCCAAACAATGTCTCATTAAAAGACATGATCAGATCAGCGTGGCAATGATTCACTGCAAATGGCACAGGGTGAGTCGTCACCCAATAATTTTCGAAAGATTCCTAGTGTTCTTTTAAAAATCCCTCATTCGATAATCGACGGCCATCCATAAGCTTCCTATAATTCTCGGCGACCCTCAATGAGGCCACAGTAGCCGGAGATCGCGTGTCATAGCCTCCTGATCGATGGCCATGCAGCTCTGACCAATCTACCAGAGCTTTATGGTCACCCCAGCGATTTGTCTTCCGCATCAATCATGTTTTTTTTTTCGTGCTCGTCTACACACAAGACGTGACTGGAAGGTGGCAGCGGGGCTTCCGGTTACTAACGTCACTTTGATTGCACTCTAATTTCATACTATCAGTTCATAACTACCGAGCTTAAAGTCCGAAAAATTTCCTGAACTTTGGCTCGATGTTCAATATTCTTTTCATTTTGTTTTGTTGGACGAAAGGATTTCGTTTGTTATTCTTTTCGATTTTTTGCTTCTTATTACTTTCGATGTTATTATTTTCGATTAGAAGTTTTGAGAGTTTCATTGAATTATAGTAGTTTCATCTCAACATAAAATCTGGCCTCAATCGTTTTAGTTCGTCATTAAATCCCAATGTCACAATCAAAACTTAGTAATCAAATGTGAACAATGTTCAAGTGTAAATTTCTCTTAAAAAATTTTAAATGCAGAATCAATAAAAACTTTCAATAACGTTCTAATATGTTTAATTGCATACTATCAGTTAACTTTAAATGTCCCGATAATTTTTTAGCTAATGTGAGAATTAAATTTCAGTAATCTTTAAATTCATTCTGTGCAGATTTGGATTTTCAGTTGTTTTGCGGAAAAAATCTTAGAGAAGATTTTCAGGACCAAGTTTGGATATAAATTGAAGAAATTAAGCAATTTCAATTGCTATTACTTTATTAAATTGAACTGTCTAATTCCAGAAATCTATTATTTCCATACAGTAATTTTTAATATCATTTCTCGGCTGATTTAGACAGGATATAAGTTGTAATACCTTATCACGGGAGATAATCAAAGACGGGATTGGTCGTACACTTGATCTCTTCCCTCGTCCCGGGCGGGCAGTTCTCAGTATATTGCTCATCGATCCCTCAGCAGTGAGGGCTGGAGTGCTGACTCAGGAGTTTCAAGCTCGCACTGTTTTGCGAAAGTTGGTCGGCATAAAAGGCAGCGTTTTCAACAAGCGCCATTTCCACACTTGTCTGCAATAGAGATTTTTTTCAAAATTGAAATTTTTTGTAAC